ATATATATATAGACTTTAGAATAAAATACTCATTTTACATAGTAACATTTGACACACACACACACACCATTGAATCCTGACAGATGATTCTTTCATCCCTCTGCATAATATGCATTGTTTATAACATGTTAACACATTGTACATACAGTATAAGCTACGCAATGCTCTATTATTTCTGAACTATTTCTTTCATGCAGATTATGTTGAGTCACTCACTACTGTCAAAATCAGTGAAATGTCATTTACAGCTGGTCACTGTATAACACCTGTACACTTATCAACTCATATCAGTGAGTTAATGGTCTGTCTTTATCTGAGAAGTTACACTGAACAGCTTTTCTTTTCTTTTCTCAGTAACGCTAAATAGCCAAACGGGATATTACTTTGAAGGCTTTATGTTGCAAGCACGCCCAGTTGGATCGAGCAGTACCATTGGCACTTTTTCTGTGACGGGGAATAATGTGCAGGTCCTCAGTTGTAATGGAATGCCTGTGAGTCTTTCTAACCCATCTCCAGTATATATACTGTATATAAAATGTTACATTAAAAACCCTTAAAGCAATTGCTTACTTACCCAAAAGTGAAAACCCTTTCAGTTGTGTATAAGGTATTGAGAAGAATACTGAGAGCCTGACAGCTGGCGATACTGTATGTTTTGACTTCCATAGTATTTATTGTGTTATTTTTTAAGAATCTCTTTAAGCCTGCTGATATTTCATGTAATGTATATGGGTAAAGATGCTATGTCCTGTTTTGGTGTCTGCAATCAAATTTAAAATGTAAAAAATGTTGATTTAATATACTTTTTAAAATTGCATTATTATTATTATTATTATTATTATTATTATTATTATTGCAGTCTTGAATTAGATACAATATTAATTTTAAATTAATGTTGTTGTTATTGTTATCATTTTTTTGCAGCGTCACACAAAAATAAATAAAAGAATCTACAACATGCACACATTTTTTGTGTGATTGCATACAAAACAAACTGTGATTATCCAACCAAATACACCTAGATACTGTAATTACGTAATAATAATGAATTTGGCCATAAGTACTCAAACAATTGCACAGCTATTTAAAAAATGTTTGTAGTAGTGGGCTGTAATGTTGAAACACTTATGGTGTCATATACTGGATGGGTATAAAAAGTAAAATTATTCTCTGATATCTACATGGTAGCTTTATGGCTTTGGTAAGTAATTTTAAAAAAAAAATCTCAAGTCAACTGTTTTATAAGCTCATTTATTCCTCCATAAAATACCCATGAAATCAGAAGGTCCATTTTTTGACCATATATGGTTCGTGTCGTGAATATTAATGAGCTCCGCTTTGACCTGCAGCTCTCACAAACATGATTTACGCTGAACGCGGATAAATATAAACCCAATCAGAGTGACATTAACCTATTTTGCTCTCCAGATCTGTTGTGGATAAAAGCTAAGTCATAATTAAACTTGACAAAAGAGAGTGATAGAGATGTATCACATTGTATTTCGAAGCTACAGTAAAAGAAAACAGAGCCAGGAATTTATATCAATATCTGCATGAATGACATTTGAGCTGAGTGATTTGACACCATTCAGCATCTACATGCGTTTGTTGAAACATACATATCACATTTCACAATAAACACGAAACGAGGTGGTCATGAGTGGAATTTTATGGCTTGATTGTGTTTATAAGGCGAGTTTAAATATGCCTTGTGCTGTCATTGCCCAGTAGCACAGTAAACAATATAGGTTTAAGATACTTCAAAATCCATATATTGTTTATTTATGAGACAAAAGACTTGTGTTGAGTCAGCTCATTTTAAATAAGTGGATTGATTTTATTTGAGTGTAGTCATATTGGATATTGTTATGAAAAACAACATTGATCATTTCCTTTATGTTTGATTATTAATTATACTATTGCTTTGTTCAGGGTAGAGCAGTCTCTCACACATCAAATGCTAAAACAACTTCAGTTCAGGTTACATGGACAGCACCTACATCTGGACAGCTCGGAAATATAGAGTTCAGGTATAATGTTTCTATCATTCACCTTTTCATTTCCCTACATCATTTGTGACATTCTGCTGTTGTTGTTTCAGTGTAACATTTGTGAAGTCTACTCTTACCTTTTGGGTTCAAGTCAAGAGCTCTGCCATTGTATATAATGGCACAATAACTACTACTAATACTACTACTGTCGCCCCAACCGTAAGTATACTGTACACCAGAAAAAATAATCATAATTTATGTATTAATGGTTATGGCTCATACTGTATGATGATTAAAGTGGTTCAGAAAAGTTAATATTTAAGTTAAAAATGTTTACTTAGCGGCAGCATGGTGGCTCAGTGGTTAGCACTCTCACCTCTCAGCAAGAGAGCCAGTTGGCGTTTCTGTGTGGAGTTTTCATGTTCTCCCCATGTTTGCGTGGGTTTCGTCCGGGTGCTCCGGTTTCCCCCACAGTCCAAAGACATGTGGTATAGGTGAATTAAAATGAATTAAAATAGCCATAGTGTATGTGTGTGAATGATTATGTATGGATGTTTCCCAGTACTGGGTTGCTGCTGGAAAGGCATCTGGTGTGTAAAAAATATGCTGGAATAGTTGGCGGTTCATTCCCCTGTGGTGACCCTCGATAACTAAGGGACTAAGCCAAAGGAAAATTAATAAATAAATGATCAATGAATGTTTACTCAGAGTTTACTTAAAGCTGCACACATTCTCTGTCTAATTAGTTTTTTAAAGACCACAACCTTTGCATTTTTACATGCTTCCACCCTTTACCCCCTCCAAAGTTTTTAATGAGACCTCAGATTTCAGAAATCGGCTTATATATCTGTCCATCTATTCAAACAGAAGTCTCTTTGGTCATTTCAGGTTGCTTCAATTCCTGGTTGTGGGAGCACAAAAGTCTGCTTCAGTGAGCCCAACAACTGTAACCCAACCACCAGCAACGGCTGTTACTTTGTGGCCGTGCAGACTTCATCTGACCAGTCAGAAATGAAGATTGAAATGTTTGGCCAGGCTGATGGATATGTTGCCATTGGTTTTTCAGATGACAAGGAAATGGTAAAGTATACACTTTGTTTTGGCAAGATATCCATCTGTGAGTGTTTACTTCTTTATTAGTCTAAAATGCTTGTGTTGTGTCCTAAATGAAAGCATTCATACCCAGTTTACTTTGCAATAGGGCTGCACAATATATTGTTCCAGCTTCAGTATTAAATAGTCACTTGGCACGATCTGCAATCTCAAGTTTCTATATTGGGCAGGATCCACAGTTCAGAAAACATTAGATTTGTAAAGTCACTGCAGACCTATAATGGAATGAAAGTTTATAATTTGCACATGTCTTAAGGCCCATTCGAGCACAAAAGAGTTTAAAGCAATGGACTCGAACTCAATTCGTGGAGGGCCACAGCTCTACATAGTTTAGCTCCAACTAGCTACAACTCACACCTGCTTAATAGTCTCTAGTATCTTGAACACCTTGATTATTTGGATCAGTTGTGTTTGATTAGGGTTGGAGCAGAACTGTGCAAAGCTGCGGCCCTCCAGGAATTGAGTTTGAGACCTAAGGTTTAAAGTAATTGTACCTTTGTAACTTTATTGTATTCGTAAAATCTACTGTTTTAGATTATTTATACAATGAATACCATCGTGCTATTTTACATTAGATTTTTTAATTTCTGAACCTGAATACTGTTTTACTCCCCAGAAAACCACTGGGGCACTGTATTGTTCACTTTTACAAAATGTATTATATTGTATGCATTATTCACTCTGCTACATAATAATCCCAGTCAGTCTAAATTAATAAATTATTTCCAAATAGAGCTGTTCAAGCTAACTGGTAAAATTGTAATCACATCGCAATATACAGTAGTGAAGATTTGAAGTGAATCGAAAATGTTTTTTTAAAATTTGAACATAAAAATGTAACCTTAAGGCCCGTGGACACAAGATGTTTTTTGCTCGCGTTTTCCGTCGATGTTTAACGCCTCGTGACTAAATCAATGTGATCCACAGTCCTCCACAGTCAGCAGATCTCAATCCAATAGAGCACTATTGGGATGTGGTGGAAAGGGAGATTAGTATCATGGATGTGCAGCCGACAAATCTGCAGCAACTGTGTGATGCTATCATGTCAATATTGACCAAAACGTCTGAGGAATATTTCCAGTACCTTGTTGAATCTTTGCCATGAAGGATTGAGGCAATTCTGAAGGCAAAAGGGGGTCCAAAGCGGTACTACTAAGGTGTACCTAAAAAAGTGGCCAGTGAGTGTATTAATAGCATATATATGAGCATTTCTGCATTTCGCAGTGCCAATTTTTTTATGTGGATTTGACTGCATTTTCTGTTGATAAACCCGCTGCAATGTACAGTTAGGAATCCCATCTGAGATGTTTCAGTTTAACTGCAGATTCAGTCATTAAAAATGTCGAAAAAATACTAGCCATACGTGTCAGAGTCATCATTTGAAACTTATAAAGGGATTATTTTTATTTGTATCCATGCACAATAAAAACAAAACTGTATGGCTTTGTAAAATAAAGCAAGCACAGGCTGTTAAAACGGCTTAACATAAGTTAGTGCAGGGATTTTAAACTGAGGTCCTGCAGAGTTTAGTTGTGACCCTGCTTCAACACACTTACCTGTAGCTTTCAAACAAGACTGAGGGACTCAGTTAGTTTTATCCGGTGTGTTTAATTAAGGTTGGCCCTCGAGGAACTGAGTTTAACTCTTGTGCATAAGCATGTCAAAATAGCATACTTGTTTGGATTTCATGATACAACATGTATACAGTTTCACCCCTAATCTACAGACTTGTAAAAAAGAATTTCCCATGAAGTCATTGGATATACAATATAAAAGAAGCTACCGCTAGCTCATGTGCATGCCTCAACAAGCAGCAGGAAAACAAGTATGCAGGTTCCTGGAAAGCGCATTTCCAGGAATATGGTTTTTAAAAAGCGCTTTGTTGCTGTTTTCAGGGCAATGACGATGTTTACATATGTGGGAAGGACAACAATGGCAACCTTCAAGTGCAACATGCATTTAATTCAGGAAAATCATCTCCGGCTATTCTTTCACTGGTACGAATCGCTTTCATTAATCCCGATGGCATCATTTTTAATTCGTTTCTAACATGGATTCTGCTTGATTTACAGGGCAATGTATCCAACATCATGACAGCACTTACGAATGGAAAAATTAATTGTTCATTTACTTCTCGTAACACCATCAGCACTGCAAGTAGAGCAGCATCTAATAATGAATATCACCTGATGATCGCTGCTGGATCTTCAAATGAAGGTCTGCAGTTCTGATTTTAAATTTCTTTGTTATTGCTATTTTTTAAATGGACATGATGCATCACGATGGCGAAGGTCACTGGTTTGAGCTTCGGCTGGGTCAGTTGGCATTTCTGTGTGGAGTTTGCATGTTCTCCCCGTGTTCGCATGGGTTTTCTCTGGGTGCTCCGGTTTCCCCCACAAGTCCAAAGACATGTGGTACAGGTGAATTGAGTAAGCTAAATTGTCTGTAGTGTATTTGTGTGAATGAGTGCGTGTGGATGTTTTCCAGTGATGGGTTGCAGCTGGAAGGGCATCTGCTGCGTAAAACAAATGCTGGATAAGTTGCCGGTTCATTCCGCTGTGGTGAACCCTGATTAATAAAGGGACTAAGCCGAAAAGAAAATAAATGAATGAATATATAGTCATGTTCCAATCTGTCAGAGTTTCTCAGTACTGGGTTGTGGCTTTAAGGAAATCCGCTGTGTAAAACATGCTGGAATAATCGGCGGTTCATCCCGCTGTGGCAACCCCTGATAAATAATAATAATAATAATAATAATAATAATAATATTAATAAAAATGCATTGTATTAAAAGGCGCTTTTCTGGCAACTCACGGACACTGTACAATAAAACAAGAGCAATAAACCAACAAGAGAAATAATAAAAAATATACACAGCAACAGTGCAGATAAAATTAATTAATCAAATATTAAAAGCCATCTTAAATATGTGGGTTTTAGTCTTGATTTTAATAACTTGAGGGAGTCAATATTTCTGATGGCAGCGGGTAGTGAGTTCCAAATCCGGGGAGCAGAGTGGTTGAATGCTCTGTTGCCCATAGAGGATAGATGAGGAGAGGGAACAGACAAGCGGAGGGAGGAAGAAGATTGCAGGGTGCGAGAAGGAACAGAAATGTGGATGAGGGCAGACAAATATAGAGGGGTGGGATTGTGGATGGCTTTGCATGTTAACATCAAAATTTTTAAATCAATTAGAAAATGAACTGGTAACCAATGAAGCTGCTGCAGGACAGGGGGGATGTAATGAGAAAAAGGGGATCAGGGGATGGTACGGGCAGCTGAGTTCTGGACCAGCTGAAGCTTACAGATGGATTTATGAGTGAGACTAAAGAGAAGGGAGTTGCAGTAATCTAATTGAGATGTGACAAGGCTGGAGCAGCTGGAAGGGTATGTATTGTGCTGCTGTGTAAAACATATGCTGGATAAGTTGGCGGTTTATTCTGTGGTGGCAACCCCTGATGAATAAAGGAACTAAGCCGAAAAGTAAAAGAATTAATGAATATTAATGTATAATGTTACTATTGAAAATTTGCACATTTTCACATATTATTTATGTATTTTAATTTTAATGTTGTTATTTTTACTGTTGTTTTAGTAATGCTTTTGTATGTTTTACTAGATTTAGTATTGGTATTAGATTACAAAATAGTTTTGGTTTTATTTATACTAGTGGTTCTCAAAGTGGGGGTTGGGACCCCCCCGAGGGGTTGCGGGACAATGAAGGAGGGGGGGGTGATTTCCAAAAATCTATTTATTTTTATTAAACCATAAGAATTACCATTTTAATCCTTAACCTACTACAAAAATAGTCGTTTACAGTTACTATATACACTACTGTATATAGTTACTATAGTAGCTTATAGTTACTAGTTGTATTGGATTGCAACCCCTCAGGTAATTACATTATACTAAAGACTCAGCAATAGCGTCAGATGCAGCAGATTGATTTTATAATACCAGGTTAAACTTTCTGGCACATTCACAGCACTGACATACATTAAAAAAAATAACTACGAAGAATAGACTTGGGTTTATTGGTGTGTGTGCGCCCCATTGCATGCAAGGTTTCTGTATTTATAACCACCTCAGAGGATATTGGGGGTTGCAAGTTACTGGCATTGTTATTTTGGGGGTCGCGAGCTGAAAATTTTGGGAACCCCTGATTTATACTACCAGACCTGTTGCTATAACATCAAATCTCGGATGAGTTTTGAAGAACGAAACTTTAAGTAATCCACGTATGTAGTTGATCAATTCACATCTGAAGATCAGACCCTGGATCATCACACATACATGTTTAAAACTGAAGGTGAGGACTTCATTAATCACATAAACTCTATTTTTTTTTTCAATTCCCTCCCTTTTTAGGCAAAATCCAGTTTCACACCAATAAATATGTCAGCAGCACCAAGGCTAATTTACTAAATCCAAGTGTTGTCATCACAAGTGAGGAAGAGTTTCCACCCATTGTTAAAGCCCATGGTGAGTTCATCATCACACAGTTCACAAAGGAACTGGTGTTATTATGGTCCTAAATATATCCGCCTGTCTTAGGTTGCCTAATGTTAATCTCCTGGATGGCGACGGGCAGCATTGGGATGATCATTGCACGTTATTTAAAGGGAGTCGCCAAGGGCCAAGGCTGTTGCGGTAAAGATTTCTGGTTTGTGGTAAGTAGTTTTACAGTTATTACTCACAAGAGTAAATTAGATCCATTTATTGACATTTTGAAGACAGTGGTTGGCAAAGTAATCTCCTGCATAATCATTAGCAATTGTAAATGGTAAGAAAGAGAATAGCTGTTTGTGTGCGAAGAGGGAAGATGGGAAACTGGATATGTAGTTAATGCTCTTGTTTACTTTTTAACATTTTTTTTTCCAAATTGCATTGATAGATTTGGAGGGCACGTTCAACTGAAGCCTTTTGCTTTCATTGGATTCCGAGATCAAAAATAATTAGACTTTAAATAAATATACAGTAATAGAAAAACAAATCAGAGATTTATTGGGGAACTTTATTCGGTCCCACTTTATAGTAAGAGGCCTTCTTTAATATGTACTAACACTAAATTTTGTCATTTGTTACACTGTACAGTACTTATTATGTAAATACATATGTTTGCATTGTACTTATGATAGATTTTAATATATATGTAATTACATTGTTGACCTTTACTTACATCTTAACCCACTTTTATTGAAACAAAACTGATAAGTTTTGATATTAAGCAGAACATTTTGACTGTCATACAAAAATCACTTACTGAATTGGTGCTTACTTTTAATATCATCACTTGATTTAACACCCTCTGTTAAAAGCAAAAACAAACTGTTTAAGATTAGTAAATGCAGCGAGTAAAATAATTGGTGAGAGACAAACACCTCTCACTGACTTATTTTTGGCAGCAATGAAAAGACAAACCTCCGCTATTGTGGAAGACTCCTCCCATCCCTTACATGGTTCTTTTAACCTCCTAGGGCTTAGTGGCCACATACATGGACAGCACATTTTTGCTCTTAAGAGTCAATTTAAAATACTTTTAATGTCTTATATTTTGTCACAGACATACAGTGTCATCCTGCAACTGTTTTGCAACATATGAAATGTTCCAAACACCATGTTAATTGTCCAAAATGGCCACACAATGTTGCTTTTACTGATAGTCAAAACATGTTCAAAGTATGTGTGTATGTGTTATTAATGTATTAAAAACAGTCAGGAAAAAAAACTGCTGTGTTCAAGGCAGAAATAAAGAGTTTTTCCTTCTATTACATAAAGATAACTTTATTGTGTCTTATGTAAATTCTGACCACTTTTTCACTAAAAGTACATCATATCAAAAGATGATACTAATTAGGTTTCAATAAGCCCAAATAGCGAAGAGAAGTAAAAAATGCATGTAAAAAACAGATTTGGGCCTTAAGAGGTTAAGTTACTTCCGTCAGACAGATGGTATAAAGTCGCTTTAGCAAAAAAGGCTAAACAAGATGATATTTCATCCCACTGCCACTGGATTTTAAAATAATTATGTAAGTGTATTTAGGTTTTGCTTTTGCATGAGAGCCTCTCTCTAAAGTTGTTCTTGTTCAATGTTCTTATCCCTGTGGGGATAAACAGTAAAGTTTGTTGAATTGAATTGAATTGAATTGAATTGAATTGAATTGAATTGAATTGAATTGAATTGAATTGAATTGAATTGAATTGAATTGAACTGAGTTGAATTGAACTGGACTGAATTGAATTGAAAACTACCCATATCACCAAACCTGTCCCTAATCCTACCCACATCCGCAATACATAATGATCACAGTAAATACATTGTATTTATTTTTTGATGCAAGTACATAGTAGTTAAAGCCACCTAATATAAAGTGGGAGCCTTTATTCATAGCATGTTTAATTTTTAACAGTTGGCCAAATTAACAGTTAATGTTCTTTTTCATGTTTTTCTTTTTTTATTCTCACCAACTGAAATTTTTCGGAAAAAGAAATGCCTTCTTAATAAATGCAGTGAATTCAGAGACATGTGGTCTCTTAATAAACACACCATTACATAAAAGATCAATAATAGGCCACTGTTCCTATTATAATCATATTCATTTATTCATTTTCCTTCGGCTTAGTCCCTTTATTTATCAGGGGTCGCCACATCGGAATGAATTGACAACTATTCCTGCATATGTTTTACACAGCGCATGCCCTTTCGGTGCAGACCAGTACTTTGAAACACCCATACACACTTGTTCACAAACATACACTATGGCCAATTTAGTTTATTCAATTCACCTATAGCATATGTCTTTGGACAGTGGGGGAAACTGGAGGACCCGAAGGATACCCATGCGAACATTGGGAGAACTTGCAAACTCCACACAGAAATATCAGCTGATCCAGCCGGGACTCAAACCAGTGACCTTCTTGCTGAACACAGTGCTAAACACTGAGCTACCTTGTCACCCTTATAATAATAGAATAATTGTAATTAATTTTTTATAAATATTTATTATAATTAATTTGAATATTTAATATTAATATTTATTATTTATATATAATCTTCATATATTTACTTATAAGAATATAGCAACTTGAAAAATTATTGCAACTATGGTGGCAAATTATTAGACTCTGGTGGCTAGTAATACTTTCTTGTTTGCATTTTAGTTTAAATCACCTGTGAAATCAGATGAATTGTCATTGGTGGCCTTTATCCCCCCGATCAGCTCATTTGTGAAGTGAATTAGGTGTCATGTTGACATATGTGTTTCGTCAGTGTGACAGTGGGAAAGTTTCTTTGATGAATGCTCTGCTGTAATAAGTACAGGATGTGTGTAGTTAGCACATGCGAGATTAGATAAGAAGCCAGTTATGGTGTGTGAACTTCACTTGTCATCTTTAAGCTTTATGGCATTATATAACAGATTATAACTCGATACTACTTTAATACAGCAGTTCTATAAATATAAAGATAATATAGATAGATTGACTCAGATTTCAGCACAATATGAACACACTGACATTTAGCTGTTTTTTAAGGCATGGGAATGGTTAAATATGTTGAATCTGTCTAATTATGGATTGTTTCTTGTTCCACAGGCTCACGTGTCTCTGATGACCCTGTCAGTTATTGCCACGGCCATCGCATTCATCATAGTGTTCGTTAGTGCTGGAGACTGGGTTGGGGTAAATACATTTATAACACTTTAGTTTAAGGACCTATTCCAGGGTATCCGCATTAAACTTGCTGATATATTCACTTGTACATCTTAAACATTTTAATGGGTCTCAATTTGTCAGTGCATGTAAAGCTACCCAATTAGGCCATTTATAAAGGTATTTATAGACTGGATGTGGTGAGGACACTGCCCTGGACTTTCAGTTGTACATTTAGCTTATTATAGTGTTTAAAGCTTGTCAAAGATAAACAAATGTATGTATTATTTACATGTTTTGATAAATTATTTAAGTATTATTCAAGTAATTAGATTTTTTTATGGGACAAGTAAAAATCCGTACAGTTTAGCCATGTATAAATCAGAAATTTAATTCATAATAGTCTTCAAAAATCTTAAATTCGACTTGGTGAAACCTGCAGAAACCCTGAATTCTCATTGACTAGAAGCTTGCCAATTATTAAGATAGAATGAAATCCTGCAATGCTTTTTGCCAATTACTTAAGATATTTGTACTTTTAATGTAATATTTGGCATGGTCTTATTCTACCCTACTAATATTTAAACCTAACTCTACTTTAATAGCTATTAATAAGCAGCAGATTAGGAGTTTATTTGAGGCTTGGTTAATAGTGAGAACTGTGCCTTAAAATAAAGTGTGACCAAATTTTTGTATATGTAAACAATGTGTTTGAATGGAAAACGTTAAGTTAGTTTCAGTTTCTCTCTAGCTATGTGTAATCTACTGATAGCATTTCTGCCAACAAAAAAGCCATTGATGGCAAAAGGTAGCATGGTTTTAGACTTACTTACAGTTGAAGTCAGATTTATTAGCCCCCTTTTGATTTTATTAAATTTTTTTTTTTTATATTTTCCAAATTATTTTTAACAAAGGAAGGAAATTTTCATAGCATGTCTGATAATATTTTTTTCTTGTGGAGAAAGTTTTATTTGTTTTATTTTGGCTAGAATAAAAGGAGTTATTAATTTTTTTAAAAACATTTTTGGGACAGAAATGTTAGCCCCTTTAAGCTAATTTTTTTTTTCCGATAATCTACAGAACAAATCATCGTTATACAATAACTTGCCTAATTACCCTAACCTGCCTAGTTCACCTTATTAAAATAGTTAAGCCTTTAAATGTCACTTTGAGCTGTATAGAAGTGTCTTGAAAAATATCAAGTAAAATTACTATTACTAAATTATTATTTACTGTCATCATGTCAAAGATAAAAAAAAAAAATCTTGTACTTTAATTGTGAAACAGACTTTGGTGTCTTAGAAAAAAAACGCCATCAATGGCAAAATGTTGCATGGTTTCAGACTCATTTATATACATTTATACACACACACACACACAGACTTACAGTTACAGAATTCTAATTTATAAATAAGACATTACATAAAATAACAGGCCAATATTTCAATTCTAGTGTGTTTTTGAAGCAGATTTCTTGTACTTTAATTGTGAATCAGACTTTGGTGACTTAGAAAATCAGCAACTACTTTAAAATTCGAACAGATGATAGTTTTTTAATATTAATACATATTACATAGGGCTGTGCAATATATCATTTTAGCATCAATATCGCAGTTTGTGAATGTGGACCTTGCAGAATCTACAATGTTGAGACTGGATTATAGCTAACCAGAAAACTTGGTTTAGAACAAATAAACATTTTTTTAAGGTCTGTGATTAGGTACAATTTTAAGCAAATTTAACCCATTTGGGCTCTAGAAGCTCTAGAAATTGTTGTAAACAAACAATTAACAAAAATTCATTGTATTTATTTACTTCTATAATGAAGAGTACACTACTTGTCAAAAGTCTTGTCCCGATCATTCTTATAGAGAACAGTCAAGTTCGGTGATGGAAAAAACGTGGTTAGGGGTTAAATTCAGTATGTGGCGTGCGAGAGACAATACACACCACAGGAGAGGGGAATTCTTCAGCAGAATAGTCTTCCTTCTCAAACTTCAGCCTCCACATCTATGGATTGGCCAGCTCAGTAAACATACATGAATATTATTGAGCATGCCTGGGGTAAAATGATGGAGGAGGCATTGAAGATGAATCCAAAGAATCATGATAAACTCTGGGAGTCCTGCAAGTACGCTTTCTTTGCCATTCCAGATGACTTAATTTTTAAGTCATTTGAGTCATTGCAGAGATGTATGGATGCAGTCCTCCAAGCTCATGGGAGTCATACACAATATTAATTCTTTTCCAACTGCACCATACCTTACACTCCATATTAAATAATGAAAAATCAAGGCATGATTGTTTTATTTTGATAAAATAAGCATAATCTAGTGGTCTTTGCCTTTCATAATCCACTTCTGATACCAAATGATCAACTAGAAGTCAAGTTATTATTTGTTGTTCCTAAAACTTGGATAGGCCACAAGACTTTTGACGGGTAGTGCATAATAGTTAACATTTGAGGCAGATGAGAAAAAAGCTTTTCAAAATTGTTTTTAGGCAAGAATGGAATAGTTTTAGGATAATTTTAATAAAAGATTTGGTCAACTTCAGATGTTTACTACTGTATAAAGTGTCATTTTACATTTGATTATTGAATTTCTGCACCTCAATACTGTTAGACTCTCCAGAAAACCATAAAGAACTGTCTATTTCATTTGCATCTTTGTTTTATTAATTAACTTTTAGACATTACATTAAAATAATTAATGTTTAATTCATTTATGCTTGTAATGTTTATTACTTTTATGCTGATTTCACTCCCTTACAAAATCATCACAATCAGTGTAAATTTATTGTAATTTTTTATTTAATGGAGTTGTGTCATCTTATATTGTGACATAAAAATGTGAAACTATATTCATATCACAATTTATATCACAGAAAAACAAAATACCGTCAATTTTTTTCCAATATCGTGCAGCTCTAATATAACATATATATTTTAAACCAGTATTTAAAGTCTGAAACATGGAACATTTAACACTGATCTACTGTCATTTTCTGCATATAAATGCTCTAATATAAAATCTCTTTTTTGAAATTTTTGAAGACATGTTATCAGTCGTTTATAAGACATAAATGCACATTTTAAGCATGTCCCTAGTATTGGCAAATGCTCTTGATTTTGGTAGTTTAAAGTAAAGTGTGTCTAACTTTAGTCTGTTTTTAGGGGGCTCATCCTGTCCTGGGCTGTTTGGTGATGATCCTCAGTCTCATTCAGCCCATCGTCGCTGCTTTCCGATGTGAGCCGCAACATGAACGGTGAGAATATAACCATAGCTATGTTTTTTTGTTTAATTAGTGAGGACTGGGGATCAATACAAATGTTCTTTAATAAAGACTACAATTAAAATGTATCATTTCACATAATCCATTAATATGTTAATTCTTGTAATAATGTTAACTAATAGGAATTGGTGTACAAAATATGAATAAGAACTTGGTTAAAGGTCTGTATATCTCGTTAGCTATCTCGTAGTAGCTGACGGTCCTCGCTTAGAGATGATCCTCATCATATTAAATCTGGTGGTTTTCTTTACAGGAGGTTTGTTTTCAACTGGGCTCACTCCTGCAATGCTTTCGCCATCAAATGCCTGGCAGGTATAGTATGATATCATTTCGTCAGTGTCTGCTCTGTTATTGTCCTCGGAAGAAAATAAGGTTTCATTCTGTCCCACAGTTGCTGCGATTTTCACCGGTCTGGCTCTGTTTGAAGAATATGATTCAGATGGGTGGATGTTGAAGGTTATGGGAGGTTATTTGGCCTGGGAGGCTCTGATGTACATTCTGCAAGATCTGAACCTGCGTGCCAAGAAAAAAGGTAATCTGATGCAAAATTTTACATTAATCAATGCTGTATCAATGCTGCAGACTGGAAGAAGCATAAAACTACCACTGAATAAATGATTTTTATAGTTCATAATTATAATAATAAAAAAAAAACTACTGTAAAGTTTGGCGTTAGGATATTTGTTTATTTATATTTTTAATATTTATTTTAAAAGAAGTCAGTTGTGGTCACCAAAGCTGCAGTTATTGTTCAGCTATGATTTATTATTGCAATTTAAAGATGACAGTTTTCTGTTGGGATATATATTTAAAAACACTAATCATTTCAATGATGGTAAAGCTAAAATTAAGAAATCAGTTTTAGTTAGAATTTATTATTATTTATTGAATTTTAGTTTTAGTTTAAATCGGTTTTAGTTTGACCTTTCTCTTAAGAATCCAGTGTTGCCAGACTTGTGGTTTTCCCACATTCTTTTGAAAATGCAGTGATGGAAGAAAAATAGCAGGTTACATTTCTTTTAGGGGGATACTTTCGTGATGCTGTGTGTCATTTATAGTCATACGGTTCTATTGAGCTTCAAAGTTTTTGCATTCCATATAGCAAACAATATGTGTGTAACAGTTCTCTTTCATACATTAACATGACAAACTCTAAATGTACTCTAAATGTCAATTTTCGAGATTCTCTTAAATTTGCAAATTGGGGTAAGAAGTCATTTTTCACTTTGAATTAAGGTACTATCTGGCAGATCGTTAATTAAAAGCATTACTCAAGAAATACAATCAGTCTGCTTAACAATTTATTAATATAAGAAAATGGGTGTTGTAACAATATGTTGATGTTTGAGAAAGTATATTTTTTGCATTCTATAATATTTATTTAATGATTAAGGATTAATATTTTCTCTTGTTTAAATTAAGCATACAAGACTGCTAAATGGTTTGTCCAGAGTTGATGTTAATTTTATGTTATTATTATGGTGATATTTATTGTTGTAATTAAAATCCCATGAATTAAATTAATTATTTGCCTTTCAATGCTTAATATCAAATTTAAGAACTTACAAAACAGTCTGTTTAACAAAGTTTAATAAACACTAAAAATAAACACTGACAATTCTGTATATACAGTACACAAATAAAAATATTTCACATTTAATTTGTAGCATTTTTTTTTACAATGGAGCACTCTGGTGGAATGACAAAGAAAGCTGTTCCTGATTGGTCCTTGTGTGGGAATTCGAAATGCTGATCGACTCACTTTATTGAACCAAGCTAGAGTTTGACTTTGTAGATAAAACCTTTTGTTTTTTTTTAAGTCTTAAAGTGTAAACAACTTCACAAAAAAAAAAAATAAATAAAAACTCACATAATGTAATCAAGTCATCATTTAATAAGAATATGTGAACAAAAAATGTCAGATAGAACCTTATAATTTCAAGGTGGCGGAGCTATGGAGTTCTGATTATTTAAATATTTATATAGTTTTCTTTTTTTAAATATTTTCCAAATTATTTGTAACAGAGCAAGGAAATTTTCACAGTATGTCTGATAGTATTTTTTCTTCGGGAGAAAGTCTTAATATTGATATTTCAGCTAGAATAAAAGCAGTTTTTAATTTAATTTTTTTTAATTATTAGGCACTTTAAGATATTTTTCCCCGATTGTCTACTGAACAAACCAACGTTATACAATCACTTGGGAAATTTCCCTATTCCGCCTAGTTAACCTAATTAACCTAGTGTGGGAAAAAATGAATTTACTTTTATTACTTTTGTGTCTTTATTTTTTATTAGAAAAATGTTTAGACTAACAACAGATTAATCAATATTTTTCTATTGTTTGATACCACATAGTGACCAGACACACTTCCTCTTTTTAACTGTGCTGCATACTTTTAGAAGGAACTGCTGACAAGATGGGAAATAGCAGAATAAGAATAATTATAGTGCATGGGGCTATTGTTCCAAACTGCTGTTTAATACAAAAGTCTAGACATGTCACAAGGAGCATGATGCTTGTAGAGGTTGAGAAATATATTAAAGATGCACGTAATTGTTCAGTTCTGGTATGCAGAGAAGGGTTGCAGACAGAGAAAATATGTGTGGGGTACAAGAGCCAAGGGACTGCAGAATGATTTATAAGTGACGTTACACCAAAAACTCCACCTGTTATTATCAGCTGTGTATATATGCTGGAGTCAGGAAATGTATGTTGGTTGCGAATCTCCTGAATGTAATTCTAGTATTTCATTGGAGTAATGTAACCCAGCGCTCTGTCCTCGAATTATTAATTTGTATCTAATAATTTACTAATATTTTTGGCATTGAAGAAAAACCTCTCCAGACCTTTTCTTACTGAACAAGTATGGAATTGTCTAAATATTCCAACACTAGTAAAGCCTTTAAATGTCACTTTAAGCTGTATAGAAGTGTCTTGAAAAATATCTAGTCTAATATTATTTACTGTCATCATGACAAAGGTAAAATAAATCAGTTATTAGAGATGAGTTATTAAAACTGTCATGTTTAGAAATGTGTTGAAATAAATCTTCTCTCCGTAAACAGAAATTTGGGAAAAAAAAAATCTGACTTCAACTGTATGTATATTTCAATTTGCTGTTATTTGAAAATCAAGGTTATTCTTTCATTTTATTTCAGATTCTCAGCTTTGCAGTTGCGAACCGGTAAGTTTATATTGGCAGGCATCTCATTATATACAACATTTTGTAAACTCCATACTGTATAACCATGTACATTTTTTGGTTTTAAAACAATATCTTGTTTGTTTGTTTGTTTTCTTAGATGAGTTCTGAAACAATCCTGCTTTTCGTGTTCATAATCGGAAATCTGGCCTTCTTGATAGCACTTCTTGTTGGAATTGGCTCAGCTTGAGTAGATCCATCCTGATACTGATTCTGGAGCTAGTTGTGGCTCTTTTGTTATATAAGATGTATGTTTTATATATTTTTATTTAATCAAAGATAATTCAGTTTCTTACTTCTCGGTGGACCTCTGCATATTTTGTTTTTGTTACTTTTTCAGTTAATATGGCGTTCTCCTCCTGGGTTACCAACTAAATATTGAACAACGAGCCTATGAGTAATGAATATAATGTAATTACTGTACTGTTCATTATGAAGGAATTATTAGGAAGTATTATCTCTCAACTTTAATTAAAAAAAATCATATTTTTATTTTACTTTTACAATTTCATTTAAGCTCAAAATGAATAAATGTTGATTCAAACATTTATGAAAAATGTATAACTTTTATAAAGATTTCTATATGATTTTGTATGTGTATATATAGATCTTATATTTCGAATGTCTTGTCAACAGCCACTAGGTGGCAGTGTAATAACAGGTATTTTTAAGCAGCTATTGTACATTTTCAAAGCATGAATAAGAACTCTATAACTAAAATATATGGACGGTTTTTTTTTTTTTGTTATTTGAATTAATAACTATTGAATTGGACATGCTTAGACATATGAATGGATGGTGATCAAATTTTTTTACAGGAAGTTTCAACAGCCATTGTCCTGTGTTTTAAGCCAACATGTTACTGTGTTCATCAATTTACTTCTGTAAGGTTAACCTGAAAACAGAAAAGCAATGTACTAAAAATGAAAAGGTTTTCCTTTTGTTTTTTTGAAAAGGTTTGTGTACAAACAACAGAAAACAATTATAGGATCAAAAACATTATATTATGCATACTAAGTCACTCATATGGTCACTCTAGTTCATTCATTTTCTTTTCGGTTTTATTAATCTGGGCTCGCCACAGCAGAATGAACCCCCAACTTATCCAGCATATGTTTTTACGCAGAGGATGCCCTTCCAGCCGCAACCCATCTCTGGGAAACACAAACAAACTCTAAATAAAGGAATTAATTAAGCTTACAGAACCCGGTATTCCCAGGCAGTCTCCCATCCAAGTACTAGGCCCAACCTTGCTTTACATCCGAGATCAGATAACCGTCACTTTAGTTCAATATTTGAAAAAAAAATAGTTACATAATTGCTCATATAACGTGAACACAATACACCTACAGTAGCCTAAGCATGACTAGGATATCCAAACTTGCGCTTTAAAATCAGTTTTAGGCCTGTTGTTAATATATGCTTTAAACTTTTTAAAAGTTTTTCTATTATTATTATTATTATAAAATCACAAGGGTTTTTTTCAGCCTGATCTCACGAGGAAATGTAAGTATTTTACGCTTTGTCAGCTTAGTGGCTAATTCATGCGAATTCGAACGAGATGAGTCATACGAAAATGTACGATTTTAAAAAGGAGGCGGGGCATCAAACCCCCGTCACCCCAAATTGGGTGATGAGCAAATCATACTAAATTGTGCGAATTAGCCACTAAATCAAAACGTTATAAATTGGCTTGAGATTGCTTTGGTTTTTTTTACGTTTAAGAGGACTTCTCAAACTCGTTTTATAGATAAAGTAACTTTGGTAACGTTTTACGATATCAGTACATGAATAATGATGTATTAATATGTAAACTAAGCACTATTATGAACTAATGATGAGTTGAGGCTAATTATAACCTAACTTTAACTGCAAGATGAGTCACATGTGTGAATAACGGCTACCTTAATTCTTAGTACTTGTTGCTAATTAATGTATTATTTAACATTTAAGTTGGGGGCGACGCGGTGGCACAGTGGGTAGTGCTGTTGCCTCACAACAAGAAGGTTGCTGGTTCGAGCCTCGGCTGGGTCAGTTTGCATGGGTTTCTTCCGGGTGCTCTGGTTATGCCTACAAGTCCAAAGACATGAACTATGTGGGTGAATTGGGTGAGCTAAATTGTCTTTAGTGTATGAGTGTGTGTATGAGTGTGTGTGTGTGAGTGTGTGTGGATTTTTCACAGTGATGGGTTGCATTTAGAAGTGCATCCGCTGCGTAAAAAACATGATGGATATGTTGGCAGTTCATTCCGCTGTGGCGAATAATAAAGGGGCTCAGCTAAAAAGAAAATAAATGAATACACATTTAAGTTCAGAATGTAACCAACATGAACTCATGAGCTGTTAATGTGTAATTATGTCATGACTTTACTCAGGGGCGCCTGCAGGATTTTATTCCAAGGTATGCACAAATCCAGCACCGTCCCCTTCCTCCAATCATGTCAAGAAACGCTGATGCTCACTGTCAAAGGTTACATTATTTAAGGGCATTCCTTACGACATATTTCGTTTTATTTTTTATTTTAATATTTCAGTAAAATCTAAATGTAACAAAAGCTTACAGCAGGAAGAATTAGACGCAAGACATAATCTTTAAAATTATGACATATTAAAACAAAATTGCAAATATATGACAGAAGATTGTGATACAACAGTGAAGCATTAAATAAATCTTTACTTTCCACTGACTGAAAATCATCCACCCGCACAGTTGGGCTCAAACTAAAATATAATTCGTATATTTTTCTTGGAAAAAATGTCTATTTACAAAGAATTTCCTATATGGTTTGTCTCTTTTAAAGCCACTTTTCCACTATTGTGCTGGACTGTTTTTTCTTTGTTTTTTGTTTTTGCTGAACCGTTCCATTCCGTGCCAAACCGGGCCAGGCAGCACAGCAACAAAGCTCTTTGAAAGATTACACTAATTGCATAATTACACAACACAATGTAAACAGCTCCCTTTGTTCAATTAAATTTAAATAAAAACCAAAACTATTTTTTTGGGGGGTTCATGTGTAAAAGCGAAAGCAACCGCGAGACTAAACGCTGTTATGCCACTCTCTTAGGGTGCTAAATATAGCTACAAGTCACAGCACCCCTATTTAGAGGTCATATGTTGAGCAGCTCTGGGCCAATTTTATTTGGAGGAAAAATGACCAAAATGTAACGCGATGATTAAAAATAATAGGAGGGGAAATAAATATATTTTAAATCTCAATACATAACAGAAAAATAAACAATGATAATGCAACAGTGTATTTGTATTATAGTGGCAGAAATATATATATTTTGGCCGGCCTTGTCAAAAGTGAGCAGGCACTTGCACTAATAAAAATATAGCAATTATTTTATTTATAACAGTCAATTACACAGCGGTTTCATATCAAAAGTTGATAATGACATAAAAACATACTACATTTTGATGGTAAAAAAAACTATTTAAGCAATGGCTGTTATTTCTTTCAGTATTCAAACATTAAATAACGAATGCATGAAGTGACAAAAACATATGAAACCACACGTAGCAGGATATAATGCATATAATGGACTATTATATTTAGCAAAATGCTGCCCTTTTAATCTTTGTATTTTTATAATTTATTTTTGATGTTTTTAATATTTTATTGTCTTCATAATTAAAACGACAAATTTTGCTTGACATTTTAGAAAATATTTTGCGTAGATACCCAATATATATACCCCTGAGACCCCACCCATTGACTTGTGTCCTGTGTAGTGGACATTGCGTTTTCATTAATTTTCTTTGAATTTTTTGAGCTACTCTGTCAAGTCAGAGGACATCTTGGTTCTTCTAGTGATATGTCATTTGATTGGCTGGCATGCTAGGAACCACTTCTTACACTGCATCCAAAATGGCCGACATACAAAAAAATGTATGGGAAGGAGAGAGGCATATAAAATTTAGCTTTTTAAATGTTTTATTAACTTTTATTATTACATATATATTTGTTTATTAAAGTGTCATGAACAATAAATTTAGCTTTTAAAGCTGTTAACTTGTTTGTGTTTCAAAATTATCATCCTTCACAAACAAATTATTTGCAATGAGAGCAGGAGTATGTGTGTGTTAGGTTGAAGAATTTTAAACCATATTTTCAAATGTTAATCTTACCTTTCTGTCTTGATAAATAACATTGGTTTTACATTCGTTCATTTTTGCATAGCGACAACAGGAGATGGTCCCTATATAGTTTACCATGCTACTCTGAATATTCGGTCAGAAATTGCATGTAAGTTCGTCTTCAAAACAACTGTGACTGTGAACGGTAGCTACATTTTAACAAAATCCAGAATTTAAAAAAAAAATAAAACAACGGTCATTTATTTACAGAAATTTACTGTAAAATAACAGAGGTTGATAACAGAGGTTGAATTTAAATGTAAGTAAATTTCTGTATTTTAATGTCCATTATTTTACAGTAAATTGCTGTAAATTAACAGCTGTTATTTTAGTTTTTTTTTCCAAGTGGTACTCACTGCATAGCCACTTGGACAGAGCTGAGCTCCAGCAAGGGGTAGCTTGAGGGTCACTGGGGGTTAGGGGTGGGTGTACACATTAAAACAGCTTATTGGAGAAGGAGTTGGAGCTCAAGCTCTTCTTCATTGGAGCCGAAGTGGCTCTGCAGCGAGCAGTGTCTTTTTTTTTCCGGCACCCCAGCTGCTGGAAATAAATTAAAAAATTACAGATTATTTTTACATTGTACGTTTCCATCCACCTATTTTTATGCGCATTTTTGATATGCGCATAAAAAATCGATTGATGGAAGCGCCAAGATGCGCCTGCGTTTTAAAAATGCGCATAAAAAACATGCGCATAACTGAGCAGGATAAACTTTTTATTCGATAAGAAAAGATGGCCATAAACTATGATGGAAACACTTTTACTGAACAAATTCCAGTATGCGCATTAAAAAAGGTCATGTGATGTTGTTATACTGTACGAGATCATGTGATGATAAAAATATGTGCGAACGGATAAACTAGCAGTCTGAGCACACTGTAAACCATCAGAAATGTTGTTTTGGTCATTCTAAACCGGCTCACCGTTTCAGTATTAGTGTTATTATATTATTAATGACCTCCAGAATCAAGAGCGTCTGTACATCTCACGCCTTCAAACGCCAACACACGTTCAGGATAGCCTTCTGAGACGCAAGTCATTTATTAAATGAAGAAAAGATTGACGCAGCTTCTCCTACTGCAGCAAATTCTGTTTTTACTGTGGATATTTGGCACCAGTTGATCAGAAAATGACAATTTTGTTCGCTGTGACTTACTGGATAGAAACGCTGCTTTATTCACACATTTTTATGCAATAATCCAGTTTTGTGCATAAAGTTAATTTGCATTTTTGAATGGAGTCATAGCTAATGCCTGCTAATATGATTTCATTATTTAGAATAAGCCAAAAAAAAATAAAATAAAAAATGAAGTGATACTGTTAAGTAGAAAGTCTGAATGTGCGACTACCAAACCAACGTTAGCCCAATTGATAAATGTGTGTTAATGTTGATGATATGCTGTTTTGTGAAGCCTGGCTTAGAGAAAGTCTGCGCTGTGGCTGTGATGCTCTGGTGTTGATTTAGCAGCTTGTGTGAAGTCAGCTGGGCGGCTTTCATCTTTTACAGTGTTGGACTCGTGTTTCTTGCTGTGTCAGCAGCAGCACAGGCCTCCTGGTGTTTGGCTGGTAAACCTGGAGAACAGTCGCGGCACCACTGAGGAGGAAACAGACAGGAAAACGCTCTGCTGTGGGCCTGATTAACAGCTCGAGCGTGTCAGAGGACAACTTTTGCTGTAACTTGCTTTGAATGACTTTCAGTTTTAGCCAAAATATATCACCATGACCATTTTGTCTGAGTAGCAGAAAGACAATGAGTATTCCTTATATTAGTTTGTGGGACACGCACCAAT